CCGCGGGGCCGGGTGGGGGGGGCCCCCAGCCCCTTGTGAGCTTCCCCACTCCCCGGCGGGGCAGCACTTGTGTGGCTGCCCTCACCCCCCTCCCCTGGGAGCAGGCACAGAGATGCACCCCTCCCCCATTCTCAACTTGCCCCCCCAACCCCTTTCTTTAACCCCATCGCTCTACACACACACACACACACGCACACCTGCTGGGTGTGTGTGCATGTTTGTGGAGGGGAGTGACGGACACTAGCCAGGCTGGTGGGGGAGGTGGGGGGCCTTTAATTTTTATCAGAGAATTTGTGATTTTTTAAATCAGGGAAAACCAGGATCCTTGTTATCACTTGTTGAAACTGTCGGTTTACAACCTGGAGCATCCCAGTACCCATATCCTAAGATGACCCACAAAATACATTTTATGAACTGAAACCATCTTAGTTATTTGTTACAGATTTCATGTCAGAACATCTGTATGCAATTTTTAAATCTTTATCAATGCATGTGGAATGTACGGAAGCTGTAGTATGTTTAAGACTTTTAACCATGTAGAGTTAGAGTTCAGTTGTATATGCAAAGAACAATTTGCCCAGTAACTACCCTATTTTCTCCCCACATACTACATCCCAAGTACTACACACACCTTGTTTTGAAAAGGCAGAATGAAGAAAAAAATCCCTTTAACCCAACTGTTTAGAATCAATTTCTCCTTTAAAGGCATGCACCCCAATTTTCAATCACCAGTTTAAGAGGCAAAGGTGAATGTGGTAGGTGAGTAAATATGCACATAGTGTCTTAAGAGAAACAGATAAGATAGAATTAGGGTAACTAGCAGTGCAAGTCCAAAATTACTTTACAAACATTTCATAAAAACAACTAAAAATCTGAACATTAGCTGATTGAAAACTGAGCGATTAATTCACTAATGTTTGGAGTTCAAGCTACATTTTAGGCAACTTTATGAAAATACTTAAACAATGATTGAGAGAATGAGTGTTTGCACTTCAAAACACCTGTCAGCAAGCTTTCATTTTATGTGACTAAACATTTCTGGTAACAGAATTGGTGTAGATTACAGTTCTGAGTTCTAGAAGACCACTGAACTTTTCACAAAGTGATCTAACAGCAATATGATACTCTAGCTCATGCAGTTAGGATGATGAATTTAGACAGTGAACACATGGATTGTGTTTAACTTTAAACATCTGTGAACCTCAAGGAGAGAGAGGAAAGTCACAATCCCTTCCATAATATCTATATTTTTTCATGGACCAGCTATAAATTCTGCTATAAGTGACAGCAAGTAAACTGCAAATGAAACTATTCCCATTTCTCAGGATCTTTCTGTCACCTTTTATAATTTTCCAAGAGGAGGCTGCTGTTCTTTCTTAGATATAGTGGCTGCACCCCCACGAGTATGCACATGTTTCATGATGCCTCAAAAGTTTTTTCAACCCTGTGCATGTGATTTGGTTCTCTGTGCTGCATATTTACAGAGCAGAGCCAAATTTAGATGCTGGGAAATCCCGGTATCAGGAAAAAATGCAGAAAAAAAACTAGGGCAGCGCAGGTGGCAGCAGCATGGCACAGGTGGCAGTAGCGCGCACTGCCTGAAACCAGAGCTTGGCTGGCCAGAGCCCATGCTCTGGCTGTTGGACAGCCTCTGCGCACCCAGATTGCCACTGTTGGAGCCCCAGGAGGCCCCCAGGTAAGGTTGCTGGGCCAGTTCAGGTGCTGGCTCCAGCCTCCCGTACCCTACCTGGAACATTTTTCCCCACGCTAACCCCACATGAAGTGGTGCGTGCTGGGGCAAAAAGCAGTAGCACAAATTTGCGCTGCTGCTTTTTTCTCCTCTGCTTGTAGGGATGTGGTCTGTGGGAGTTAGCAATAGTGCACTGAAATAGTGCCCTGCCTCCTTCAACCTGACCCTAGGGGACTGTGATGGACAGCTATTATTCTAAGTCCTTCCTTTAAAATCCTCTCCCTCAATCCTGTTCTATTAACTATCTAGATAGAAATGTTGAGTGATCTAGTGGGGGGAAAAAGAAAGGGATTTAAAGGCCAATAATATTCAGACACCAAGCTCAGTTTCAACTATAAAAAATATAAATGCTCTTTCCCAGCTACCCCATCATCTGAGAATGAACTCTCACATGAGAAAGTTTGTCAAAAGGTAAACCTGTTAAAAATGGAAATATCAGTAGCAAAGAGAAGGAAAGCCTTGATACTTTTAAAATAGTTTTTATTTTATTTCACAATCACTGATTTATATTATCCATAAGCTATTTTAGTAAAAGTATTTTTTTTAAATCTGAAAGTAAAAAAGTTGGCATTCAAAATGTAAGCTCTTTAGCAAAACTCAGCAAGCTTTTAAAAGCTCTCTCACATTCACATCAAGCTTTCCATACACTGCACATGTACAGGCACTTCAAAGTAGCAGGGTAACTACACTATACCAAACCTTTCATTTTAGCAATGATTACAAAATCTTGGTCTTTGGGTAAAGCATACAATGAATAATGCATAAATAGTAATGTCATAAATCAAGTCTTAGACAAAACTGTATAGGAAACACATATATATCTAATATATCTAGATATATATATCTATAGGTTGGAAGCAGGAGCCGTAGGATAGATGGATATCTATATATCTATATATATATAGATATATTTTTTCCCTATACATACATAATAACATGTATATATTATCCCGAATCCATAGGCTCTGCACCTATACTGGGGATTTAACTTTGTTAAAACTCTTTGAGACAGTTTCCGTTAAGTTGGCTCTGCAGAAAGTGTTAAAGATTATGCTAGTTTTCAAATGTTTCAGAATAAAATACAAGTTTACCCATCCTGTGTTTAAAATTGGTTCTCCTAAAATGATTTAATCCCCAGTGTACAAAAGGGAACAAAACTACAAAACTGTCATTAGGCACTTCAGGAGTTGAAATTTATAATTTTCTAAAGACACTTCTGATAAAATACAGTTGGATTTAAAAAAGAAAAGCATTCCAGAGGTGTTTTTGTTTTGTTTAACTTAGGCAGGAAGTAAAGCATTTCATCACAGCATCCCTAAAAAAAAGAGACGACAATTAATTTTTTTTTCACTCACAAAAGCTGCTACATTCAAGTTATCAATGCTTACTACACTATACATTTTTTAGAGTAAAATTCAGTTTTTACAAACAAACCTCAATTATTCATTGCAGAATTCTGACTGATCAGATCCCTTGAGAATTTGAAAGAGTCTAACAGGGCCCTACTGAGCATTTTGTAAATTGGTTTTATTGACTAATCTAAATGTTCACGGTCTTGCTTATTTTTATTTTCACAAAAACAGATTCATTTGTTCATGAGCAGACTTTTTGTATTTTGTTTTAAATCTTTTTGAAAAAAAAAATCAAGAATGTTATTATACTTATTAGCCAATTGCCCATCAGGGATGACTGGGGGGGGGCCCACGGGGGACTAAACGCCACCACCCCGCGCTGTCACCGTCTCCCAGGAGTGGGGTGGGGAGTGTGTGTGCGCCCTGCTTTCCCTTCCATCCTCCTTGGCTACCAACCTGTGCTCCCTTCAGGGAGCAGAGCTGGGGGGGCGGGGAGGGGGCCTCACCCCCCGTGCTGCAGCCTTGCTCCTTGGAGGCAGAGGGGGACAGCGGGGACAGCCCTGCCATGACAGCAGGGACTGAGGGCAATCATGGCAGCCGTCATGGCAGTGCTCCACTGCGCTGCTGTCGCCTGTCCAGAACACTCTTGGAGCACTCTGATTGGCTGCCAAGACAACCAATCAGAGCGCGAATAAAGCATGCACAAACAGACTAAGGCTTTTATAATATTAGGATAAGTCAAAAGAAAATCAACTATTACTGTGTACAAGGCAGCAGTGTGTCTTTAAATTAAAATCTCTCTCAAAAATTGATGCCAAGAAGAAAGATCCCATCAAAATGGAAACAAACGAGCAAGGGTCAGCAACATCCAGCCTGCAGAGTGACTGGATCCGGCTTGTGCTGCTGCCACTTCTTCCTGGTCTTCTCAGCTGTGGTCCAATGTGGGACGGATGGTTTCTGTACTGCAGTAGTGGCAGGGGGACTTTGTCTGCACTTGTGCCTGAGCCAGGTAGCTGAGAGCTGTACTGCCACCGATTCTCCCTCTCAGCTGTGGCATAAGCCCAGCTTCTAGCCAGTGCAGATCTGCGCTGCAGCCAGGGCGCTGGAGACTGGGAGAAGCAGAAACAGCATGGGTGCAGCTCCCAACTGCCTGGCTCCAGTGCTGGCATGGACAAACCCACCGCTGTGCTTCCGAAGTGGCCAGCCTGTGTTGGACTGAAGCTGGGATGTTTCAGCCTGTGCCTTAGCAATAAAAAATTGCTGACTCCTGCCTAAGGGTATTTCTGTTGCTACAGCTTTTTAGTGCAAATTAAAACAAATGGGTACCAAGACAAAATATGCAATATTTTTTCCTATAGCTATAAGAGAGATAACAGACAAATGCTTACTTGAGATGGCAGTTTACTTCTATTATCCCCAAAAGAATTATTAGGCTATTATCACACTTCATGTTATTAACTAAAAAAAGGCATATGGGGTTTAAATGAACACAAGGTATTGTAAAGATAAGAAACTTATATCCTATTTCCATATCAATACTTTGATAAATTTAGGGGTACTATATACAAAGAGTGCATTTTCTGAGTTGAAGACCTAGAAAAATATCTAAAGCTTAAAGTATACAACTAAATTACTGTTAATCTGTTAAATTTCAGAACTATTATGGGTTATATTGCAACTTAATTCCCCTAAATCCTATACTTAAAAAAATACTGGATTGTGTTTATATTTTCACAAATTGAATTTAGAGATGTCTTTTTCCAGAAAAGAAATTTTACCAATTTTATTTATATGAACATACAAGTAATTATATTTTCTCACCTTGCATAAGGAATGTATGACAGACTATACCTGAAAAGGAAAGGAAAAAAAGTTTAATTTGAAGAGTGTGTTTCATTTTTATATGGCAATTTACTTTGGATTAGCCAAGAATTAAGGAAACAGGTTTTACTAACAAAATCTAAGCAAGTTACAACTGCTGAAAAATAAAGGGCTCTGCATGCGCTACATATATTGCCAATAATTTCTCATTAATTTTTTTCTTTGAATTTTCTATGCATTACAAATTCCCTTAAATATGGATTTCAGCATATAACAGAATTTGGTGGCTTACTATTACTTGACAACTCTTAACACATTACTTTCTAAAGATTAATTACTTGATTAGATTAAATCTGCAATTCTCCCAGAAATCAAGACAGGAAAGACATCAAATAAGGTTCAAATATAACAGAAGTAGAGCAGGATTTGATACGTGAATGTGTACATATGTTGTTTTCTATAACTCTACAAATACAAATGAAGATTGTAATAAACTAAGGAACGCACAATGGCATGTTATTCTTACAGTTGATATGTCATTACTATCTGAAACGTGCTGACAGCTCCGAACATTGCATTTTAGTCCCTTACCTTTCCTGCTCAGATCCAAGGATGGATTTTATAGCCAAAAGCCACAACTTTGTTATCGTTCTTCCTAAGTATAAGGCATTTACTTGGGTCCAGTACCATGTTGAACAGGCTCTATTGCAAAATAAATAGTTACCTATCCATAACCTGAGTTCAAGATGGCCGCTGCGTATCCGTGCTCACAGAAAGGCCAGTCAATGCAGAAGGTGGGACAGTTTCATAGCATACTTGTTAGAGTACTCAGGCACCCACCCTCCTATTCTTTTCCTCTGTATTCCTGATTGTGCTGAGGCCTGGGCTATGCAATGAGACATGCTGCCCTCTGCTGCCTCAGTTTCTTCCAGCTCCTCAAAATCAAGATGCTATTAGAACTCCTAGGAAGAGGGGATGGGGAATGTGAATATGCAGAGTCCCTCTGTAAGAACTCTGGCTAAAAGTAAGAAACCTTCATTTCTAGATTCAGTGTCTTCTCCATACTGCTGTTTATGAGACTGAGGGGGAATTTTAGGTTTTTAATCACCTGAGCTTCCAAAATCTCTCTACTGGAAAAACTGCTCTACTTGTAAGAGTTGAGAACTGCACCTATGAACAGGGATCATTTTCAAAAGTAGCATGACTCCTAATCTCAAAAAGAGGGAACATGTATAAAGTATGACTGTTAGGGTAGCTCGTCATATTTTATGCTTATAGAGTGGTGGATTTTCATATTGTTTAAACTTTTTTTATGTTCAGCCTTATTTAATCATTGCTCAAGTTTTGTATAGCCTCATTACTATTGATCAGCTGGCCTTGAGTTGCTTTTGTAGAGCTCATAGTGCTTGCTCATTATATCTTTTCCTTTTTATCACTGTGAGAAGTTCTTCTAACGTTAACACAGCAATGGCCTTGTTACCAGCTCAGATTAACTGAACTTGGCACTAGCCAGTTGAATCAAAGGGGTGAAATGGTTGGATATGTTAATGAAAGGTGATAAGGGAAATCAATGGACACTGCCCACAGTAAGACACAGGAAAAAGGCCAAACTAAGAGGCGTGCTCGTGATGGGTCTGTTGAACAAAGGGATATACAGACAGGATAAAATATGGACAGTATGCTGACTGCAGAGAGACAAATCTGAAAGCAAAGAGTCGTTGAAGGAGTGACGTTGAAGAAAAGCATAAAAGAGGGCAGCAAGGAAGCTAGGTGTTGTCGTTGGCATAAATCCAACCTTCAATACCTGCCTGGACTGAACCAGCCAACAATGCACCCTTTGTTTTGAGGAACCGAGTGGCTGTCTTTTCTGTTGAGCAAAGTAACATCTGGGATTGGGTGAGATTATTGTACTGAATGTTCTTCTCTCTCTGTATATAGAAACTATTAGTACAACAAATGTTATCTTAACAAAGTTAGTCTTTGATTTTAGGACACCGAGTTGTCCGTGTTCATATTTCACATCCCTAAGTGCTATCTGGTGAGCAGTGGTGCTAACAATGACCGCTGAAAGTCTCTGTTCAACCAGTTGTCTAAACAAGTAAAAAGATACTAGCATCTCAAATGCATGGCTACCATGGGTAGGCACTCTGTAAACATCAGTGGGTCAATAGATAAGTCATAAGACTTGATTTGCATTAAAAGTGGTTGTATTATAACACAAGGTACTTGCAGTGTCTGGGTCTAAGAGAGATACACAATTACACATTATTTCAAGTCACAAGCTACAAAACGACCTAGGTCAAAAAGAGAGGGCACGGGAGCACAGAAATATAGGATTGGGAGGAGCTACCTGGTCTATCAAGTCAAATTCTCTGGGACTACATATAGCCATGTCACAGACATTTAGTTTAAAACAGGCCACGAGAATATCCACTCCAGCCCTTCCCACGTACCAGGCACAGAGGATGTTTTAAAAAACACAGAAACTTTACCTACAAATGAGGCCCCAACTGCACACAGAACCTCAAACAAACCCAATGAGGAGCTACAGGAAATGAGCAGGAGAGGTATGAGAGCTGCTAGTGTCAACATGAGGAAACAGAACTTTCCAATAAACATGTTGTGCTGCCAAAGAGCCCAGACTAGATGAAGTTCCTTGACTTTCTTGGATGTCAGAAAATATCTCAAGTAGATACACCTTGACCTTTGAATTCCTTTGACACCTCCATAGCTCCTGCTTCCAACGGAGGACAATAGTGCTTTTCTGAGAAGTACCTTTGGTCCCAGCTACAAGAAAAAGTTAGCACGAGGTAGACTAGGGTTTGAAAACATATAATTCATCAGCTAGTCTACAGTAACTGCCTGCATGTACAAATTTATCTTGCAGTAAGCATGAAATATGCCTTTTCACTGAAGAGCAAACTAAGTTACTTCCTGTTTTTGAGAGGCACCCTAGCTTACACCTTATACTAGTTTGTTTGTGTGATCATATCCTCTAAATAGAAAAGGTGGATGGATAGGGTAGAGAAAGAGATCAAATTAGTGAAAATGAATCTGCTGACTTCCGAACACTGATATAATAAGAAAGTTCTATCTTCAAAAGGTCAAAGGGAAAGGGTTTATTCAAACTGGTCTTACTCATGTATTTGAGGTCTGATGTGCAAACACTTGGTCAAAACAGAGGGCTGTTTTCTGTTCATTCAGGGTTTAAAAGGCTTTATCCACTTCTGTGGCTGAATAGGAGGGGTCTGCTAGTATGAGAATAACATGATGGGGGATAGAACTGAATTTGGCTGTGTAACTGCTTCACAATCACCATCCAGACACTGGTAAATTCTGGCTCATGTCCTCCAACCTTGATCTACAAGAGCATACACCTGCTTTGCAAATAGTTCAGACTAAACTACTTTCGTTGTCAGCTCTACACCCGAGTAATCCAATCCATACTCCTGCTATAGTGCGACTCCAATTCAGCCAGGTGCAACTGTATTCTAAATGAACGGTTACAATGTTAGATGGATGCAATTCATCCAAAAACAGCAGAAGGGATATTAGCTAGTCTCAAAATAAGCCCCTGTCTTCCAAATCAACAAAGACCAACTGTTTTGGTCCCACTGTTCCTCTGTCAGACCCCAAAACCAATTTAAAAAAAAAATTAAAACCAAAAGCAAATCTATCACAAAATATTTTTACCTAATACTTAGAGAAAGTAGAGTTATAACAAACAAACAAACAAACAAAAACTTAGTCCATAACATCTATTCTGGAAGGAACAGCAGTAGATGTCAGAACAGGGGAAAAAAGTATATAGAGGGGACAGACAGAAGTGATCATTTATGCCCAACCTGGCCACAGAAAGCGGATTATAACAGTGACCAAACACTAAGTGCGCAGCTGCAAACTGCTTCAAAAATAGCCAACTGGGTGAAAAGCTGAACCCTCATTGCATAAGGTATTAGATGAAGATGTTTCAAAACAGAGCATCTTCTGTAACTTGCGTCTGTGCTACCTTCCAGCCTGTCGCTGTTTTCAGAATGGGAGGGGGGAAAGGGAGTGGAGGGAATTTGGTCTGGGGTTTTTCAGCCTCCGAGGTGGGGGAGAGGGGGCTCCAATTCACCCACCCTACCCTCCAGCACCAGCTGGGAAACCGCTAGAACGAGCTCCCTCTGTTCCCTTTCCCCTCTCCCATTCTGAAAACAGCTGGGGTTGGTAGGGAGGAGGGGCTATTACTAGGGGAAACCAGCAGCTAGAGTCCCCTCCCCCCTGGAACCAACAGTGAACTTCTGTTTGGTCTGGGGGATTGTTGCAACTCAGAACATTTCCTGCTAAGTGTTCAGAAGTTCAGCTCCTGGTTGTAACTCAGTCTGCATCCAGACTGTTACTTTCACGGCAGAATACAGAACAACACGCTATCAATACTGAATACATTTTAAAAGCATGGACTGATTAATACTAAGAGAGTTTAAGGATCACACTGACTACATCTAAAATTACCTTGCAGAAAAACGATCAATAAGTGTGAGCTAAATCCATACATAAACTCTGACTTAGTTTAAAAGACATGCGAGTTAAACCATATTTGTTAAATAAAATATTTTCATATGTATTTTGCTTATAAGAAACTGTTGAGGCATGGGCAATTCAAAATTAATTTAAAAAGCCTTACCATGTCATTGCAAAGAACTGCAATATGCAGAATAGCAGGGCCAAACCTTTCTTACCCCACTGAGACAAAACAGAAGAAATATTGCAGGTCAAGTTATTTTCCAGAAATCAATGATATTTATAACTGAAAATATTAGTTTACTCAACCAAGTCTACCCCAAACTTTAGTTAAACCTGATGCTGAATGGTCAAAACTGAGGAAATTAAACATCTTAGTCTTCCCTTCTTCATTCTACTATTGATTATAGTATTGCAATAGCATTCCAATTGAAAAGATTTTATTAGCATTTTACTATACAGCTCTTCCCTTAATTCTGAAACTCTTTAAGATGAAATAGTTAAAGACTTGACTATCTCCTCCACACTCCCATGCTTATTATTTATGCTTCAACCATGTTGCAAGAGATATTTCTGAAACACATTACTTTCACCCCACATTTTAATATTTCAATTATTAAAATAGGACTGAGATAGTTATGATATTGCTTAATTATCAGTTCAAACTTTGTCTTCTTTCCCTTACTCATATTAAGAGCTTATATTCTAGGCATTACATATTTTCCCATAGTATGCAGCCACAAGACCGTACTTGCGTTGCAGCCAGGATATTTAGAACCACCAGCCCAAATGCAATTGTGGACAAATTCTTCACTTCCATTGAAAGGGAAGAGTGACATGGCACAAGGTCACCCATCCACTTTCTATTTCAGTGAACTTTAACAATGAAGTTACCAAGTTTTTCTTAACCACTAGTTGGAGGAAACAGACTACTGCCAGAGTTAATAGCCCATCTGTGCCAGCTTAGAAAACATAAATTAATATTACTTACCCAGAACACAGCACAGAGTGTGAATATAAAAGAAAACTGGAGGGGGGGAGGGGGGAAAGAAAAATTAGTGCACGGTATAATTGTTTCTATATGTTTTTATTAAAGTAATGAGCCTTTCAGAATTCACTACCTAAAACAAGTACATTCAAGGCCTGCCCTGCAGTGAGCACTCTGAACTACAACATTCTATTCCTTCAATAAACGAAATGCCTGAATTAATGTTATCTTTGCAGTCTTAAATCAGACCCCTTGTGTGAATACACGATTCATACTTCAATTACATAATCATTTACTATTTTTGCATAAAAAACTTTGCCTCATTCTGTGCAAGGAAGGGGTACACTCACTTCACGTACTACCATTTAAAATGTTGCTTTCTCCCTGTTATTTTGGCCCCATTCCTTGTTTACTGAATGCTACTGAAACACTAAAGAAATAATTCATTCCCATGGGTATTTCTAGCTGAAAACTGCAATCCCTGTTTTGTGGGAAATTCTGAAATTAAAAAAAAAAATCCAAAAATGAATGCAACCATTTAAAATATATTTAATTTTAAAAAGTCAAAATAGTACTTCGTTTTCAAGCTTCTCAAAACATCCCCATTACTTCCCAAGCCACCCAGAGGTCCAGCACTCTGCCAGACACTTCAAAGAGCTCAGAGGTCCTCTGGGCTACCAAGGAGCCACCTGGCAGGCTCCCCTCCAAGGACAGGGAGTCTGGAACTAGGGACCAATTTCATCCCATCCCTATGATCCTTCTTCCAAACTACATACCCTACCTCACTCAAATCTGTCTCTGTTTCATCAGAATTCAAGTTAGGTCATCTTCTCTGCCAAGCTGCCTGGGCCCTGGAAGGGGAGATGTGTGGATATCTGTGGTTCCAGCTCTAGAGGTAGGCTCTCAGCTTTATATTCTTGTTCCTGGCCCTGAACCCAGATTGGCTCCTAATAATCTGGATTTGCAACTGCAGGCATACTGCTCAGCTCTAGAACTTACGCGCATCCAGAAAACATGAAATCTTTGGGAAATTCAACCAAAACGATCTAGCAATTGTTTTCTAAGCATGTACACACTGATATCTCAAAGGCTTATAACAGCCAAATATGGCTGGTTTCTCATGGAGGTTAAAGACACATCTCAAGCACAAAGGTCAAAATCTTGCTAAGTATCGAGTCATCACATCAAAGAAAGTGGGTAGACTTGAGTTTCTCGAAAATAAAAAAAGGGTATTCAACTGTTTTTAACATTGTTGCAATATGTATACAACTTATAGCAGCAACCCAAAAAGATGGGGGAGAGCTATTATCTCCACCATCTGTAACCAATTAATAAGCTAGAAACAACTACTATACAAGACTAACAAGCAGAAAAGGGTATCAAGGTGCTCTGAAAGGAGAAGCATTGGACGACATGGTCCTTAACATAATACTAGGGGTACACCAATAAAGATTTTCTTAGCCAATACCAATGGCCAATTATTAACCAGCTATATCAGCCAATACCGATGAGATAGCCGATTTACAGGAATGCAGCCTGGCAGCTTGAAGAGCAGCATCCAGTGATAAGTTTGTGGGGAGGAGGGAGCAGGGATGCAGAGAGACCCCAACAGTGAGGGAGGGAGTGGGGCAGGGGCAGGTGCTGCCCAGTCAGGGTAGCGAATGTGACCTTGCAGGTGCCTTGTCCAGGAGGGGGGAAAGGGGGGCAGTTCCCCACCACTGCGCACACCCCTGGGGGAGGCATGGGGGGCATATGCCCCCCAAGATTTATTCTCAGGATGGAGGCAGGCTGGCTGCTGCAGGCTCGGGGCCAGGGGCTGCGCCAGCCTTTTCCTGGTGGGGAGGCTGGGACAGGGCTGTGCTCAGGGAAGGAAGGGTGGACAGTGATGGCACTGAGAGGGGCGGCTACAGGGTGAGCTACAGCCAACCCAAAATTCCCCATAGCAACCCCCACCAGCGCTGCCCACTCCACCCCCACCCGTCCCAAGCACAGCCCCTGCCCAGCCCTCTGCCAGGAAGAGGCCGGCACAGCCCCTGGCCCTGAGCCTGCAGTGGGAAGCCCGCCTTTGCCCTGCACACAAATCTTGGGAGGCACATGCCCCCATGCCTCCCCCAGGGGTGCATGCAGCAGTGTGGAGCTGCCCACCCCTCCTTCACCCCCTACCCAGCCCCCCACATATCCAGGACAAGCCATCCGCAGCTCTGTCCCACTCCCAGGGTCACATTCACTGTCCTCTCTGGGTAGCGCCTGTCCCTAACCCCTCTCCCTCCCTCACCATGGGGTCCTCAATCTGCCCCCCCAGGCCCCTTCCCTCCTCCATGACCCATCCCCCCCAATGACTTACTGGCTGGATGCTTCTCTCCAAGCTGCCAGGCTGTCTTCCTGGCTGTGTGCATGCTGCATCTGCGTGCATGCACATGGCATTTAATCGGTGACATTATTGACTACACCGGCCAAAAAAAGCCAATTGCGTTAATTTTCCTTTTACTGGTGCCAATCCAATATATGACCAATATAGATCAGTGCTCCTTTACATAATACAGGATCCTTGAGCTTGAACCCAAGGGAGAGGGTACTCCTTGTCCCCTCCTCCCCCTTCCTTTTCTTTGGAAGAGAAAGTACAGTCCTTGAGATAAAGGACCAAGGACTAATGGAACAGACCATAGAGAAAGCAAAGTTGGCAATCCACTATTTTAAAAGCTTTAAATTAACTTTCTGTTCCCCTGTGAAGGACTAGTCCTAATCCATGATGACAAAAAGACTATTCTACTAGGGCCATGCCACACATTCAAATCAAAGTTGGAGAAAAACGAGCTATAAAGTTGTTACATGTTTTCAAGCACTAACTTCATAGCTGGCTGGCTTTTTTATAGCTCGACAGACATTTTTCTGGTGTGTTAATTACTTTGCATATGTGACTGGTCTAAATTTATTGTTCAATTAACCAGATAATTATATAATATATGTAACGTGTGACAGGGGTCCTACAGGCATTGATGGAGCCATATGACAAGGGGATAACACCTTTTCCTAATTTTATTCTTGGGAATGGTTGAAGGATTTGGGGAGAGAAATTGTCTGAGGCACCATTGACCCCCCATGCATGGAAAAATCTTAGTCCAAATGGCTAGTCTAGAGAAGCTGAAAATAGGGACTTGCTGGAAGAGTTGGAGACATTTCTAATCGATGGTGTTCCCAGTCTTTCTGCCAGCAATCCATCCATTAACCTTTTGAAGTTGAAAAGTAGATAGATAGTGCTTACCAGCATAACGAGTGTTGCAATTAGTCTTGTTGGCTCAAACATTTTTTTCAGCTGCTTCATAGGTCCCATCAGGAAGCATGTACTAATAGAAAAGTAAGCAGGGAAGGGGGAGGAAATGGTAAGTCTCTTTCAAATAAAGCTTTGCAAAGAATTGTAACAGTAACTCGTATTTAGAAAGCCTACCACGGAAGTTTATATATAAACTAGAAAAAAAGCCTCATGTCAACATTCAGTAACAGATCCTGCTAGCATTAAAAATGAAAAATCCCTTTATATTTGGGCCTGAAAACAGCCATATACATCTGCTCCTGATTCCCTATCAATGTTACTAGCTATATTGAAAGGGCAACAATTTTTATTGTCCGGTCATCCTAAAACTGCCTAAAAATGATTTTTTTTCTGACTATGAGGAAGGTTGGAGGACCTGAAGTAGGAAATTTTGCAAAGTGAGCTTATCCTGCGCCATATATCTACAAGAGCTTTATGCTTCAATATAAATTTATGATCCTCAAAGCTGCAAAGAAACTCTTAAATATAACCTAAGGAATGAAGCTACTGCAGCTGTTCGGTGGCATGTGTCAGCACTGTTATACACACTCAAGAATGTAGGGGCACCTTTTATTTTGCCTGAGCTCAGCCGATTAGCAAACGAGCAAACATGGGAGCAGGCCCTGCAGTTCTTGCCAAATCCTCCACCCTTCTTTTAAGCCTGAACTGTACCTAATGCACAAAGACTAAACCCTGAAAATATTTCCTGAGGTGATGATACTAATCATTTTCTTTTCCCTATGAAAGGTATAAGAATAAAACTAAGTTAATTTGGCAGGGAATATCAGCTTTGCCTACTTCTAATGTGAATGAAACATCAAGAAATATGTAGGATAGATAAAATAATCATGCAAAAGGGGAGAATTGATTTAAATGTAGTATCTTACACCTCTTACAAAGAACTGAAATGTTACTGAAACAAAGGAACCGGACAAAATAATTGACAGGCATTTTGTACTTTTACAGCACCTTTGAAGATCCTCCACATTTTTCAAACATTAGTGTTATACTGCCTGCAAGGTACAACATATTAAGATGACCTTGCACTGTCAGACGGACTAACTGGCTCTGAGTTAAATGACTATCACTGTTGCAGAAAACTGGCAAGAGCCAGGAACAGAATATATGTATCCCAAGACACCAATCCCCACCTCCTCCCCCAATCATCAGTATATTACCCAACCTATTGTTAGAAGTTTCAGAGGTGTGGGAGGGGGCTGTGTCAGGCTTCTGGGGCCTAATCCAAGTGCACAGGGCATGAAGGGGATAGTGGCAGGTGCTAGGATCTGATACTGGCACTCTGGGCTCCATCCAGCCTGTGGATCAGATCTGGGCTGCTCATCTGGCCTGTGGGGCTAAAGGATTAGTGCCACTGATCTAGTCAAACATTATACTACACTGTTAGAGCTCTAATTTAAGAACATCAGCAGAAATGATCCAGTAGGAACATTTTAGAAACTTGACAGGTACTGTTCTGCAGGATGTACATCCATGTGCAGTACCTGGATATGAACAGCAGAATTGCATGTTGATGTCATTGTAAAATCACCTGTGCATGTAATACAATTCCCTACCAACCTGAGTGGTTATTTTCTCTTTTTAAAACTTCCTATTACATGGTTGCAGTATAAAACTAGTCTTTAAGAAGTGTACATCTTCCCTAGATTAAGCTATTGCCATTTTCTTTAAAGCCATATCTGATCTACTGCTGACAACACCCGTAAGGCCTGATGCAGGATGCTAAAGACATTAAACAATAATATCTATATTTCAAAGGAAGCTTTGAAGAAAGGGCAAAGAGAATGAGGTCCCTACTTTGATCCAATTTTCTTCAAAAACTTATTTTAAATGTTACTGCTAATTACTGCTTCTTGGAGGAGTCAGGGAGGGGCATCATAACCCTTTCTAAGCATTAGAGTTCTGCACAACATTAAGATTATACACCTCCTGTTATGCTACCATGTAAGGAGATAAAACACTGCCATCCAAACTCCTAGTATACGGTGCCCTACATGATTCAGTTCTTCCCCTCTAGCCTCTATAAAGGACCGTGAAAATGATGAAGTCTTTAGACTTCTGTGTTACCAATACAGAGATATAACTCAAGCACACATCTTCTTAACCACCAATGTAACCACAGCCGACACATCCTACTGGTTGCAAGGAATCAAAAGATGATTTAAATTTTGAGACCACTTCTTTCATCTAAGACTGACGTGATGTTTTAAGTGGGGAGTAAAGAACTTGCCAACACTCCTCCAAACTTCTTTCAAAAGAACTGGCCCAAACAACATGCAGCATGCCATACTGTAGTTACTGCTCTATTTGGATGGAGAAAGAGCTGCTTCCACATCTACTTGCATCCTTTCCTATCAGGAAACACTATAACTTGCCTTTATGGTTCAGGTTAACCCTGTACTTTATCTACACATGAATTAACTGTTGTAAAAAGGCTAAAGGAAGTAGCAGTTTCTCTAGTACACAGTAGTGAACACCTCATAAGTCAGAGAGGTAGATATCACCATGTCTGTACAAACCAGACTCTAACGTGGGGGTGTGCAAAGTACAGCCCACAGGCCAGATCCAGACTGCCAAGGGATTTTGTCCAGCCTGCAGTGGGTCCCTCGGTCCTGCCCAGGCCAGTTGTGGGGGGCAGCCTAAGCCATGGAGTGTGTAGCCGGTCCCACAGCCTCTAGGCCAGAGCTTTCCAAACTGTGTGCCGCGACACATTAGTGTGTCGGCGGCAGTGTGTAGGTGTGTCGCGCGAAATGCAGAAAATTTTGCGGAAGGGCACCGCGGAGCTCCCTTACTCGCGTCCGCTTCCCTTGGCCCCTCCCCCGGAACTGAATTACTGTGTCACGAAATGATGCATGTCTAAAAAGTGTGTCACCAACATGAAAAGTTTGGAAAGCTTTGCTCTAGGCACACATAGCAAGGCTGGGATGGCCAGACTTGCTTTCCAGCAGCCCCGGTGGTGACAGCTCCTTCTGGCTGCTGCAGCCGACACACCTGGCCCTGCTACATGGGCATCCTGACCCATCCACCCTGCACCTACTGGGCAGGGTGCACAGGTGAATAGCGTCTGGGAGTGAGATGGGTGGGTGGGGCCAGGGAGACCCCGGGATCTTGGGGCAGTGACAGCGCGGGGCCAGGGCCCAGGGAAGAGCTGTGATCTGCTCCCTGCATGTCCCTGGGACGAGCATGGGTTCTGCAAGCAGGGGCGTGAGGGCAGTGGATCGCGCCACTGGCCCAGCCCTGTTCTGTCACAGCCCCAAGATCCCAGACCTAGACCCAGACATAGCTTCCTTGCCTGCCTGTGGCTCCATGCCACCCGCCCAGTTGTGTGCCCTCCCCACATGGCTCCCAGCCAGTCTCTATGGAGACGCTAGGATCACAGAGCAGTGACAGTGTGGGGCTGGGGCAGAGACCTGCAGGGAGTGGATTGCATGATCTGCCTATATGCCCCCGTAATGGGTTCCGGTTCTGCAGGCAGGGACATGTAGGGAGCGAATTGAAGCTATGCCCCAGCCCCATACTGTTACTGCCCCACGATCCTGGGGTCTCCATGGAGACTGGCAGGGAGCCGTATGGGTAGGGCATGCAGCCAGGCAGATGGGATGGGGCCGTGGGTGGGAAGCTGTGTCAGGGATCTTGGGGCACAGGTCAGTGACAGCACAGGTCAGGGGCCCGGGGCAGAGCTGCAACCTGCTCCCTGCATACCCCTGCCTGCGGAACTGGCGCCCCTTTCAGGGGTGTGGACAGTGGATTGCATCTCTGCCCCAGGCCCCAGCCCTGCACTATCACTACCCCATGATCTTGCCCTCTAATCCTGGCCTTGCCCACCCGTCCCACTCCCGAACATGCTGAAATGCCTATATGGAGAAGACTTTAATTATCTGAAGAGGAAGGAAGTCACAGAAGGATGATATGCGCACAGAAATTCAAAATATATAGTCTATACCTGCTAGCCAAAGTAAAAATCCATCTAGATGTATTTATGAAGCAACCATATGAACTACAAAATAATCTGAGAGGGGCAAATAAGGAATTGCTATTCACTTATTGTGATTTAAGTACAAAATAAGAACTTGAAATTGTAAACAGCATTGTTTCTCACAGTGGTCATCTTTAATGTAATGGTCAGATAATTGGTTATATCAACTGGAAATTCAGATAAAAATGTTAAATACTGTACTTCTTAAATGATAATTAAGAAACTAATTCATACCTGGCTAATGCAGCAACATTTCCTAGGGTATAGAAAACAGCAAACAATTTCAGTCCTGATGGAAGCCATAACAGTGCTGTCCCCTGCATGAAATTGAAAATATGCAAATGTTTTATCTGCTACTCCAGTTTATCTATTTTACATTTACATTTTGCAAGGCACATGTTTTCAGAAACTAACATCTCCATGACCTTCTAGTAGCACAGTGTATTCAGAGATTTAAGTTATCCAGTATATTAATATCTTCCTGTACTGGCAAGTGAGCTACAGTGATTTAACACACTGAACTGGAACTCCTAATAAGCACAAGTGTGAAAATTATTTATGTAATCCCACTGATAAAACTTACGTTTGCACAACGTGGCCTACTCAGGACTATTACAGTTTAAATTAAAAATCTTTCATTTAGAGTTGTAACTTCCTATACATAAGTGGAAAATATTAACAAAGCCGCAGTAGGCTTGCAGTACTCATACCCAAACCAAACACAAATTCATCCTCCCTGACGTTTTACCCTGCACTCACATCCCAGATTAGCCATTCCCCAAAGAGAATTCTGAGACAACAAAGCTAGGCTGGTAGGCCAAGTATGCAAGGGCAGGGGAAAAGAAATGGCTTAGTTTAAATACTTTCCTTTTACAACATCATGCTGTCAGCACCCTGATAACCCAAAAACCCTCTGCTGAGCGCAACTGCCAAGAGCTGGCATGGGAATCCTAAAAGGGAATTGGAACAAAGACATTTGGGGCTTCTTGGGCCACAATCATCATCTTCAACTTCAAAAAGCAGCCAAAGGAGGTCAGAGCAGAGATGTAGCACTCTCTATGAAGACTCTCATACAGTCACATTCTGCACCAACTATAATTTTATAATACCAACCCACATACAGCACACTGCAATAAACCAGTCTGAATAACAAAAGAAAGAGTACAACTATCCATTTCAATACCCAAAAGGAAAAGGTGCAAAATCTTTGACAACTGCTTGTCAAATACATGTTTATGGTTACTGCTACCTGATCAGCCAGAAATCTAGGCAAGACCATATTATGAATATATGTAGCAACGAGCAAGGACATTTGTACAGAGCTCGCCAATACCTTTTCAACACTGGTGGTTAAGTTACTTCAGATACAAAAGATTTCCAGATACACGTCAATTTTGTTATAGATTCAGAAGCCCCCCCAAAAATGATCTTCATTTGCCTTCCTAGACTTTTACAGGTCACCTCTGATTCAACATTTTACTGGCCACATCCCAGACCTCATCTTTGGTCTAAATGTCAAGGCAAAGGACACTGCAAGACAGCTGCTATCCTGGATAGACTATTACTCTCTTTATAACCTCTTCTAGCTCCCAACACTGAAAAGACAAATATTTCCAATTTGATCATGAAGTACCACAAATCCCAAAGCTTTAGGACTACAGCAGTGTCCATAGGATGAGTGGAGGAACTGATTATTCATTTTATATTTATATATTAGCCTCTATTGTTAACCTGTTAACCCCCAAATAGCCCCTTAAACACTGGCATACGCATTTCCTTTTTTTCAAAACACTATGCCAAGTGAAGAAAGGTGGACAGAAATCCACATACCAATCAATGGTAGAAAACAAGGCTGACATGGCCAGGATGAAATGCAGAAAATTCCTCTCAATTCTATGTTGAGGCTGTATTACAGGAAGCTCAGTAAGGAGTTTTCTTAGCCTATTGCTTCACATTTCCACTCCAAGGAGACATCCAGGCTATTAAACTGCTTTATCAGCCTCAAGCTCCTACCAGCCTGCAAAGGTGCCAGTCTTGCCCATAGTTCTGGAATAACAAGCCATGATTGTTGCCAGCCCTGGCCATTTTCAAGGGGACTACACTAAGCTGCAGGAGTGTTGCTAAGCAGAAGGCCCAAAGCCTATTGCCAAGTAATCAGTGTGAACCTTTGCAGATGTGACAGTTAACTTGGTCAGCAAGTAAAGGAAATGATCAAACACAATTAAAAGAAATCACAAGGCCTGAAAGGACAGATCGGCAAAATGGCAGATTTGACTGGTGGCTAGAGTCTATTTCCCAGCAGTCCCGGCTCCTGGCTGGTCTCCATGGAGACTCCAGGAGTGTGGGGCCGCAGAACTGCGGCTCTGTCCTGACCCAACCTGGCTTCACGGTGTCACGGCCCCGCACTACCAGGGTCTCCACGGAGACCAGCCAAGAGTGGCATGGGCAGGGCACAGAGCTGGGCAGGGAGATGCTCCAGGGCCAGGGAAGAGCCGTGATCTGCTGTCCATACGCCCCTGCAACGAGCGTGGGTTCTGTAGGCAGGGGCATGCAGGGAGCAGATCTCTGCCCTGGCCCCACCCCATGCTGTCACTGCTGCTGTCACTGCTGCAAGATCCCAGGCCCAGAGCAGCTCACCGCTCTGCCACGCACCCTGCCGGTCCCAGCCGGTCTCCATGGGCATCCCAGGAGCATGGAGGCATGACAGTGCAGGGCCTGGCTGGGGCAGAGCCCCGGTTCTGTGGCCCTGAGCTGGTTTTGCCTTTGGGCTCCTGGGGTCTCCATGGAGACTGGCTGAGAGCTGGGACTGCTGGGAAATGGAGTCAACCATGGCCCAATTCTGCTTGGACTTGGCCCACCCCTGAGATAAGGAAAGACCACATATTAAATAATCCACATACACTATATCATAGCCTTAACATAGTAGTAGTAGTAGTAGTAGTAGTAGTAGTAGTAGTAGTGAGTGATGTAACTATAAGCCTTAGATGTTATTTTTCTATAATAGATATATTGTTGTTAACATTCTTAGATAATTTTTAAAAACAAAAACAGACTTGTCAGAGACCATAAACTATAGCAAAGAAGAAACAGGAAACCCTCCCTCTTTCCCAAGGATACAAATCCCAACTAATTGACATCTTCAAGTCCACAAGAGATACAGTTTAGTTGAGTTCCAAAAGTTTCAGTGAAATAAATTAAAAAAAAAAAAAAAATCAATCAGAAATCATTTCTTAGAGTATTAGAACCAGCCATCTATAAATATTGGGAACAGGCTGGAGGGAAACTTGGAGAATTCAGTAGCTTCAAAAAGACCCACTGCAATCTGCGTTCCACCATCCTCCCACGTCTCAAGTCTCCCCAGGTAGTATAGGTCAGAATCTATGTTGTGCTGTTATGGGTAGCAAGATAAACGTTTATCCTAAGTCTGTTTTCATGTTTTACAGTGTAAGCAAATAAAAGGTTGGTCTGTAGACCTGTTTCTGCCTCTATCAGTAGCCTACCCACAAGGTTACCTGCAATCTGGGCAACACAAGCTCCTACCATCCTGCAAAGGCACCAGTCCTGCCCAAAGCTCTGGAATACAAGCCATGGTCAGCAACTTCACTGCTCTGATATTATCTGGGCAGGCCTTCAGCAATTGGGATAAAGCTTTGGGGCACTGCTTGGGGAGTTTATTTCATTACATATTATTTTAGTTTAATATTTGTATCCATCCTCAGGTTTTTACTGTAAGCCACCCTGAGCCTCTCTGGTTGGGGAAGAAGAGGGGACAGCATATACATTTAATAACAAAACTACCTACAGTGGGAAAGAATGGTCAAGTGCTTCTTTTTGGAAAATAAATTTTTCTTGTGGCTGTTTCAAGACAAGAGTAAACTCTCCAAGGGCTAAGAATCATCAAGAACTTTATCACTTACTGCTCTCAAGACAAGGTAGTAGTGTTCTCACTGGCTAATTTTGGATCCCCTCTGCCTTAAGTACTTTATAGGACACGATCTCCAAAGGGTTTGAATTGAAACTGCACATGCTTCTCTATTACCGATGCTATGAATAGTTCAGACAAAGAGCTGCATAATTAGTAGCTACATCCAGGAAAGCATACTAAGTATTATTTCCTGGGGAGAAATCTTTCAGCTTTTTTTCTATTTCTACTTAAATATTGCATATATTGCTCCATCTTTCTAAATATTCAGGTTAATGTAGACACCTGGACAGATGTTGAGAACTTATGTAAACCGATATTATTTGTGTTTGATTTAAAGTGTCTCGTGGCAATGGCACAAACATACAGCAATATTTGCAAAAGCATGCCTCCATTTACCACCAAAAAATATTCCAAAGCAACACTCAACAAAAACTACTTAGCCATGGACCTACGTATCTCTTTGATATGAAAAAGATGATCAAATTATTTTAAATTGGGACAAATAATTCACCATGTTGTACTGAAGCCAATTATACAGATTTTCTGTAGGGTATTCACACTACTGAGAAAGAGAACAAGTCCACAATACCTAATGAGGAAAGTTTTATTCTCTCTACAGCAAGTGATAAGACAATAAATGATGCCTTTTTATTCATTTTTTAATAAAGGAACTTGACTGATAACAATATGCGCAAGAAGTTCCTTTGTATTCCTTTTGTAGTTTGTACTTTATTAAGGCTTTGATGGAAAAGATGGGATCTTTTAACCTCTGATTTTCTCTTGTAGTAGATAACTGATGAGTCCTTTGTCTGTTAGGTGCTCTTAACATTAAAATGATGACTGGGATTATGTCAATATAGAGTATAAATAAAATTTAAAGAGATTAACATAAACCATAGGGCTTCTAAAAAAACAGTCGGTCCAAGCACATTCTGCTCAGGCAATTCTGATTTTTGGAAGATCCCATAACTATGCACTAATACATCACAAGAATGTCACTGCTCTACATGATGGTTGACAGTTTTACAAAGGAAAACAAATAGGTAGATAAAAACTACTTTACTTGTACAACTGACTATTAAAATAGGTTTTTCCTCTAATGGCTTAGTACTTTCTACAACATACACACAGACAAATTTTCACAATTGGATTCTTGATTCTTGGATACCAAGTGTTATATCTTTTCACCCTGACTTCAGGATCCAAATTAGCTGAAGTCAGTAGGCATCACAGGTGCTCTGTCCCAGTAGTTCTCAAGCAGTAGATTGAAGAGGTGCTGCAAAGGCAGATGGAGAGGGAGGATATCAGCCAACCCACTCCTCACCAAATGTTCCAGAATTAACATGTGCGAAACTAGTTTAAGTGTCTTTACTGCGTGTGTAGCAGATTATGAATGAGGTAGGAACACACCTGCATAGAGGATAGGGAAAGGTGGGATGTGGGTTCAAAGAGCTTGAGAATCACTGCTCTATACCATGCAAAGGGCCACAAAAAGTGCAACGTTTTGCTCTTTCATTTGGATTACTGTATTTTAATTAAGAATACAATGTAATGTACTAGAGACTATAACACAGTATATTTTGTCCATACTTAATAAGACCTCTCATTGCACCATCTACTGTAAGTAGGGGAAAGATCTGATACTTTATAATTCACACAAAGAACTGAATTCCTTTAAATCTCCATTATAACTATTGGCCAAGGGTGTTCAGTATTTAACAGAATCAGCCCCAAAGTGCAAAGACAATCTAAGCTGTATTGTAGCATACTCAGAAAGGTAAAGAAAAACGTCACTTACAAGAATGGAACATACGATGCCACCAACAAAGCATATCGCAAACCATTTCACTCGAGTGCCGAAACTAAGTGATGAGTTATCAAAGACCTTGTAGGGAGAAAAGAAAATTAATGGTTAGCTGTTTGAAATTTATGGTTCCCAAAGTTTATATCACTCATTTGTATTTAAAAAGCTTTAATAGAGTATAAAGAGATACAACTGTTCAACCTGAAACAAATATTAATATTTTATATACTTCTCACAAAAATGCAACAGTTACCATATTTAACATACTCCAATGTAAAATGAGATGAAAACTTAGGCTTTACAAAATGTCTTATTAATTTCAAATACTCTTATTGACATTAAATAATAAATGCTGCCCCCCACAGACAAGTAAGCCTACTCATCATCAAGCACTGACAAGTGAAGGTTCTGGCACAATCATACTAAATTAGCATATGTATCTTCTGGGGTGAGCTCACCTTAGTGAGCAATCTTTACACATTTAGCAGCTGTCAACTACCTTGAATGTCAGCAAGTAAGGACCTGCAGGCAGGATTAAGCCTGCAAAGAGATTTGATTTGATAAATAGTGGGGGAGGGAAAAATCAGGAGGCATACAGCTGTGCCATGCTGCCCATTCCCTCTGCAGCCATCCCCACTGCTCTCTTGTGCCTCCCTTTATCCACACAGCAGAGGGGCTGGGGATCCACAGTGAAGGGAAGCACAAGTGGCTTGGGTGCTCTGGAATGTGGAGATTTGTGGCCTGCGGCACAAGCTCTAGTCCACAGTGGCAAAAGGCTGACAACTTCTGCTTTAGAGTACGTAGAAAAGGAAAAAAGAAAGGAGGTACCATCACTGTTGATACTGACACCAATTATGCTACAACAAACAGAAAGCAGCCATTTTGCTGCTGTAGAAAAAGGGAATGGCAAAAAACCACCCATTTGCTGAATAGAATAGACCATGTAACGAACTTTGACAGCTGGGGTGTGTGGGGTTCCCAGCCACGGGACTTGGTTCCTGCCAGTGCAGAGGGAGCCTGGGATCAGACTCTCTTTGCACGCACAGTAAGGCACGATGGGATGTAATGTGTGATCTAACAATCATGCCTCCTGGCATGCAGAAGAGCGCTTGGCTACATTTTATCATTAGTTAACAATCTTAACACAAAGGAGACTATTAGTTTTTAGCGACTCAATTTCAAAAAGTGCTTAAACAACTGAAGAAGCCTCTGAAAGTTGTCTTCAGTAGCTATTCTTGCTAAGTTTTAGTTGCACCAATTCCATCATTTGATCACAGGAAAGATTTCAAACATGTTAACATGAGGCAAGCTTACTAAAACACACTAGTACTGCACTTAAGGAGATCATAAAGATACAAGACAAAAAATTCAAAATACGCAAAAGAGTTGAGTCTACGTCCCAAAGAAGTTAAACAAAACTTATGTTCTGAGGCACTTATGCAAAACGTTACCTACAAGCAGATCCACTGCAACCTGTTCTATTACCGAAGCTTGGCCTACTAAACAGGTCTCAAGAAAGTTTTAGGCAACAAATCTAGTCAGATGGCATGAATGAACACACAGTTAATTCACATTTCTATTGCTCATGTGTCCGTAAAACATAACATTTCACCTAAAACATATGCATAACTTCTACATTTTACTTTAACTGTAGTGTTTTCCTATGGTAAACACACAGACCACTGTATAGCAGTCATTCTTAATCAAATTAGCATATATGAAAAGGAGAAGTTGAGAAACTACTGATCTTAGTACGTATATATCTTGACAATGTGTACTAAAAGATCCCAATCCTGGAAGTAATCATCTAGGCAATGAAGCATACTACTGTTAGACTAATTTCAGATAATAAGATTACTCATAGTAGACTTCATCATGTGTGCAAATCCTTGCAAGATCAGGGCCTGTCTGATCCAACTTCTAAGTCAATGGGGACTTAAATACTATGTGGATTGGATCCTGAAGACCTTGAATCCAAAAAGTGCTACAATTTTAAGCACATAAAAATGCTAATGAGTCAATGGGGCTAAACAAAGATAAAAATTTAATGATTTATTTTATTCTTGCCTGAATCTATCTTCCCACTAAAAAGAGAACAGAACATACACCTTACTATATGAATGTTCAGCTTCTTCAATCTAAATAAAATATTCAAGTATTTCATTTAAAAATAAAACATGACTAAAAGTTACCTTTTATATTTACTGTCAGATTGTATTGTTTTCTATCACTGTAGTCAAAATATTCAAGATCTTTTTTTCTTGTGTTCAGCAATTAAAAGGCATCTTTACAAATGAGAGATATTCTGCTTACCTTGTTAGATCCAACTGTGTATCCTTATGCAGGCATAAAAAGAAGTAGATAAAAGTGTAACTAAATTGTTGTATCAACAGGTGGAGCACAATGGAACAGTTATATTTATGAACACAGAAGCCACTGAGCAGGAGGGAGACTTCCCTACAGAGAACTATAGATACGTACATATTTGGATCAGGCATTCAGATACACCGATTCATGGAAATAATTGTATGAGCACATAAACAATTAAATCTTTCCATTAAAAATACAGTATATTATCAAGGGATAAATGCCTTTTGGTCAGGATTGAGCGCCACCAGCATGCTTTGCAGTATGTATATAGGTCACTCAATAGGAAATGAAGAAAAGGATGCATGGGTAAGATTCTAGTCACATCTCCTAGGGGCAGGTGGCATTTATGCCATTTCTTGCAGCTGCAAGTTAGGCCAGTTTCACATTAACAGGAATACAATTATAAAACCCTACCTAGGCTTAATCAGATAAAGTCATAACCTTAGTAATTCACACTTGGAAAGGAGGGAGACCCATCCCGCTTTTGCACATTAGCCTAGTGCAGGGGTTGGCAACCCCGGCACACGTGCAAAGCATGGCATGCCATGGCCAGCCCTGGCTCTGGGTAGCTGCTGCCAGCGGCGGAGCCCAGGCTGCTCCCAGCAGGGCTTGCAGTTCCCACCTGAAGTAAAGGGCTGGTTGTAGCCAGGAGGCTGCAAACAGCTGTGCTGGGCTGATGCCGGAGCTGTGGAGCCTGGCGCAGCTGTCTGCATCCTGCCCGCTACTTGCTGCAGCTGCCCAGAGCCCAGGCTGGCTACCAACAGCTGCGCTGGGCTCCGGAGCCCAGTCACCAGCTGCGTGCTGGGAGTGGGGGAGAGACTGCCGTTGTGCTGCCTCAGGCCCATCCCCCACTGCTTACTCTGATGCACGAGTGCACGCGCTGGTACGGAGCTGATACCTGGGCTCTGGAGCCCGGCACAGCTGTTTGCAGCCTCCGGGCTGCAGCCGGCCCTGGCTCTGGCTAGCTGTTGCCAGCCAGGAGCTTGGGTTGCTCCGAGCAGGCAGCTAGGATGCTGCAAGCCCTGCTGGGAGCAGCCCAGGCTCCAGCAGCTACACAGAGCCAGGGGCGCAGGGGCTTTGGGTGGGGAGCAGGGGGCAGCAGGGCTGGGGGGCAGGGGCACAAGCAGGACATCCTGCCATGTACCCCCTTGCCCTCATTTTGTTTTTGTGGCATGCCGGCACTCTGGCGCTTTCCAAGGTAGGCATTCTAAGGTAGGCATTGTTTTTCGGGCCAAAAAATGTTGCCTAGCCCTGGCCTAGTGGTTAGGGGAGCCGCTTAGGAAGTGGAGGACTTGGGGTGTAGTTCTGTTCAGCCTGAAGGGGTTTGAATCCTAATCTTTTAGTTCCCAGGACAATCAGGCTACGGGCTGAATTGAGCTGAAATCACCCTCCACCCTTATTGCTGAAGCTGGGTCACTGGACACCAGAGTATGCAGAAGTCATGGGGCCAGGAAGATAGCAGGCAAGACAGCATTCTTCTGTAGCCCAGTAAGAAGGGCCCTCCTCTGGGATGAAAGAACCAAGGCCTGGGTTCTGGTGTCTTAGATCAGAGGTTCCCAACCCCCAGGCCGTGAAGGGTTGGCTGCCGGTCTGCAGGAGGGTTGGCTGCCGGCTCGGAAGTCCTGAAATGACCGGCATACTGCAGACCGGCAACCAACCCTTTTTTAACACCGAGTATAAAAAAGGGTTGGCTGCCGATCTGCAGTATGCTGGTCTGCAGTTTGCTGGTCCGTGGTCTAAACAGGTTGGGAACCACCGCCTTAGACCACTTATACATTAAATAATTCTTGATCATAAAACACATTGGGAATGTCAGCAGAACTACCCAACCCAGCCTAAAAGAAAAATCTTTAGGAATCCTGCATTTATGCAGGGGGTTGGATAAGATGCCCCTCAATAGCCATTCAAACCATATGATTCCATCTTTAGCCAAGTTATTTATAACAGTAAATTTAGCCATTGTACAAGTAGTTACAGCTGTGAAAAATGAAGCTCTGTATGCACTACTGAGTTTGTATTTACTACGTAAAAGATGGTCCTGCTCTTTTCTAACCACTCAAGAACCAATGTTTTTATTAGTAATGTTGTATGGCAGAGGTTAGTTATACTAAAGGAGCAATACTTAGTGGATGTCAAAGCACCTCAGACTGAGCTGGCTATGTTTAAAAATTATTTTTAATGCAAGTTAGAATTAATTTCATGTTTGCATAAGTTCTGAATAGACAAGTTTGAATGATAAATTCAAGCGGGGAAGCAGTGGCAGCGGAGCGGAGCCACAGGGCAGCGCAGGTGTGGGCTCTGTGCATTTGCAGGAAAGACCCAACAGCATTGAGGGGGAGGCAACCACTTTTCGCCTGCGTTGGAGCAGGTGCAGGGTGGCCTGGGGTCGGGGCTGTGTGCACGGGTTCCAGTTGGTCTGCGCTGGCCAGGGCAGGCCAGGGTTGGGGCTGGGCAGTCAGCTGCTGCTGGGCCTTGCAGCGGTGAGGAGCTGCAGGGTGTACGGACTCTGGCCTGTTGAGTGGGGGTAGAAGGAGGGGGAGGAGAGGTGCTGACCGGCCTGCAACAGCTCTCGAGAACAGTCTGTGTGGCCAGCTGGCCCAAATAATTGCCTGCCCCTGCTCTAACAAATGCCTTTTTAAGTAAGCATCAAGGATCCATTTTATTGGCTACACGGTAC